CTAATTTATTTACTTATTTATTTAATTTTTATTCTTCATGACGAATTAAATTAGTGTTTTTATGTTTTAATGAATTAGGTAGGATATTATTGGTTGTTAACAAGAAGGCTAGAGACAGGAGGTGAAACTTCGGTAGTGGGGATGAGTCAAGAGCCTTTCTTTAACCAGGCATTTTTCGTTTTGAAAAGTCGCCGGCGCGGTGCTCCTGCACATCACTCACACATTTAAATTCTTGTATATCGTGTGTTTCACATGTGTATGATATGATTTTAATTTGAGGTTAACTTTAAAGTGCAATCGAGACACAATGTGTGTCATAACGGATATATATATATGTTGGGCTCAAAGACCGAAAACGCTCATTGAGCGAAAATATAGTCCACAACGCGTTGTGGCTCCTTCAAATTGTCCACAACGCGAAATTCGTGTTGTGGCATGGCAAAAAGTGCTCAAAACGCGTTGTGGTAATTTGAAAAGGGCCACAACGCGAAATTCGCTTTGTGGCTGCTACAATATTCGGCCACAACGCATTGTGGTAATTAAGAAATGCCACAATGCGTTCTGGATTCTTTTATATTTGCCATTACGCGTTTTGGTAATTTAGAAAAATCATAACACATTTTGTTGCTTGCAAACAAGGTGTATACTAATTACCTGTCTTCCCAGTAAAAAAAAACTAATTCAAATGAATTGAAACGAATTAACATTTTTGGTAGGCTCCAATTCGTATTTGTCACAAAGCGGGATTCACTCATCTCTTTGTATATTCAATTGAATTTAATTCAATATGTACCAATCTGTCCAAACGAATTCGCATTCGAAAGAAATGGCCAAGGAATGCATTGAATTCGTGCTAACGAATTGAAAAAAAATTAAAGGCTCAAAACTTGTCCAGTGAATTGGTACGGATAGAAGGTTCGGAAGTTCAATACAGTTTCACGAATTCAGGAAAATTGCATCATGGCTCCAATTCGTATTTGTCACAAAGCGGGATTCACGAAAGCTCTTTGTGAATTCTTTTTAATTCATTTCAATTAGTTTTCGTTTACTGGGTTATTATTTGATACTTAATTAATCAATTTTCTATTATAAGTATGTCATTAGCCTCTACGATTATAATACCTTTGAAATTTTCTTTATTCAATGAATAGTTACAGTAGTAAAATTTCCACATCGGTGATTGCTAAAGTAGATTTAATTAAAAATTTTTGTAGTCTTTGTGTAATATTTATATTGTGACATTTATATAATTTAAAAAGCTGTGCAGGATTTTAACAATAATATTAATAACTCATAATGGATAATAAAGAGGCAATATTTTTTGAGAAATTAAGTGAATTGATAAAGAATAGCACGGTACGTTATTTATTATTTTTATATAAATTAAGCAAGTAAAAATAAAACAATGAAAAAATATAGATCAAAGTACAAAATAATAAAATACAAATGATTATGTTTAAAGTTAATTTCGGGTATTTATAGTTTAAATTATTTGTAAATAAAATTGTATGTTATTTGCTTAAAAAATACTACAGTTATTTATTTCTTATCATTTCTAAATTACCAAAACGCGTAATGGCAAATATAAAAGATTCCAGAACGCATTGTGGCATTTCTTAATTACCACAATGCGTTGTGGCCGAATATTGTAGCAGCCACAAAGCGAATTTCGCGTTGTGGCCCTTTTCAAATTACCACAACGCGTTTTGAGCACTTTTTGCCATGCCACAACACGAATTTCGCGTTGTGGACAATTTGAAGGAGCCACAACGCGTTGTGGACTATATTTTCGCTCAATGAGCGTTTTCGGTCTTTGAGCCTAACATATATAGAAATAATGTGAGTGATTATTAAATGAAGTATTATTGAAATAGTTAAAAATTCCGAAAACGTGCTGTGTGAAAAGTTGTAACAAGAAGAAAGATAAACACAACACTATGACTATTACTTTTTGTTAACTTTTAATACACTTCATGCTACAGTTTACACATTTTTTTGGTTTTAAAACTTTTTTTAATAACTAAAAGATGTTTAAAAATATAAATTTTTATATTTCATATGGGAGCGTTCACAAATTACGTAACGCTAATTTTTGAAAATTTTGACCCCCCCTCCCCCCATGTAACACACTGTTACATACATTAGCGCCATTTTTTCTGCTGTACATAACAAATAGCTAGACCCCCCCCCCTCCCCTTTATAATGTTACGTAATTTGTGAACGCTCCCTATTGTATTTGTATAGAATATATTTTCCCGTGTTTACGTATTTAGATGCGCAGAAGTCCATGTGGTCTATTGCGGCGAAAACTTTTTTGAAAGTAAACGCCTGACCATACATCAGCTGAGTGACTCAGCATTGCCATACCCCCACTACCGAAGTTTTACCTCCTGTCTCTAGTCTTCTTGGTTGTTAATTACATTAGTGAAAAATAGTGTTTTTTAAAAAAAACCTTTATAAATATTAAAGTGCCTTTTCTGTTTTTAATTAATTTAGCCTGATGAGCCAGGCTGAGGTTTGCCTGGCAAACCTTAGCCAACGAAACTTCGCATTACTGACGAAACACATTGGATTTTTTATTCAATTATTTACCTTCCCATGATCATTTATTTATCAAATATCAAATGAACTGAAATATTTGGCAATTGGTTAGGAAGCGTTCCCAAATGAATGTCATGTAGTTTTTTTGAGATTCACCCCCCCCCACCTCTACTACAATTTTGCGCAATTTTAGATGAGAATAATATATTATTTTTCGTTTAGTAGAGACCCACTTATTAGTTTTAACCGTATTAATAGTGGATACGTTCATACGATTAAGTAACATAAAAACATCATTTTACCCTTTTTGAAATGAAAAGTCTTTTAACGTATATTCGTCCATGATCTGGTATATCTGAGGGAAGTTTAGCACAGATTCTGCATTGCGCATGTTTCAGATTCTGTACCTAACCTTCCGCGCAACATCCGTCCCACGGTTTTAAAGACTTCTCGTTCTGGTGTACATAATTACAGAAACTAAACTTTTAACACATATAGTAAACTTTTAGCACAGATACTGTTCTCTTTTATCTCAGCATCTGAATAAAATCAGGGAACAATATCTTACCCTCATTTCGCGCGGCTGCTGTATCTGAGTTCAGATGCTGTGCTAAACATGTCTCAGTGTAATTTTGACTATTAATTTTTCTCTGTGTAGTTATATAGACAAGACAAATCATTATCTAATAAATTATTATTCGAAAAATTAATAAGAAATTAATCAATAATGAATCTTTAAAGAATTAATCGTAAACCGTTAATGAATCAATAATAAATGATTAATTAATCACCGATGAATCATTAACGAATAACAATGAGTCATTAATGCATTAACTATGATTCAACAATGAATTAATATCAACTGATAAAAAACTACTTACATTTAATTGTAATGTATATTTTATAATGATTATATAATAAGGAAGCTCTTAAAGTAAAATATCCTGATATGTACATGTCTTGTAGAAAAAAATTTTCAAGACTCGTTTATTAAAATATTTGGATAGATAAGACAAATTATTAATGAATTAATAATTAGGTAATTAAAAAGAGACAGGTGTAAATATCTGAAATTTATTTCAGGTGTTGTACACGGAAATAAAATTTTAACTGGAACTGCAATAAGGTGATAGTCTTAACTGAAATAACTAAAACTTTCGTTAATATAGTGAAATTTATGGTTGTTCCATAAATTATTTTACATGTGTAAAATATAACACAGATGAGGGTCGAAACATGTCGAAAAAACAGTTCCCTACTCTGACGGTCGAATTGAAATGTAGGGTAGGAATATGCATTACAATCAACTGTTAATGATGGAATCTGCAATACCGACTGTGGGTTGGCAACCGCGCAGCGTTGGTGGCTGTCGCACGAACTATAATGTACAAATTTGAAATGCGCGCCATAACCGACTGCATCGCTAGTTGCGCCTCTAGCGGCGGCCTCGCGAACATGTGTCCGGGTACTCACTTTGTTTATCTACTGACATATCATTTTAGTTTCCAAAAAGGCAAAAAAAAATTTTTAATTTTTTGAAAATTTCAAAGTGGTGTAATCCCTTAAAAAGAATTAATTTTGAACTTTATTTCATACGAAAATAATAATTGCTTTTATGACTAAAGGATATTTATAGGTTTATAAGACAGGAAATTTTGTTTTTCGACAGGGAAAAGACAGGGAATTTCAAAAACAGTTTTTACTCGACACCCTGGAGAGAAAACAGGGACGGATTTATGCTGGGGAATAATAAATAATGATGTTTCACGAGTACTAAAAAGAAACTCGAAGGTTCATCGTTCTCCCGCATGAATTCGTCCCTGCTTTCTCTCTTAATCGCTGCCGCGCGAAGCCAGAATCGATTCGTCACAGTTGAATTTCATTGTACCAGTCGGTCGAAACACGGCTTAACATATTTAATGATATATGGAAGACGGATTAATCTTTTTTAATTTTCGAAGGCTTATTTTAAAGCTGAAATTCTAACGAAGATTTCTGTTTTTAGAAAAATGTTTTTTAAATTTTTCTAGATTTTTGAAAAAGTGGAAGTCAAGAGACCAAAATGAGAAAATTTAATAATTTTTTTTATTTCTTTCTCACTCTACAACTCAAAAAATAGTTTATGACTCGACTTCAAAGACGGGTTATTTTACGCAAAATTTAATAAGCTTTCTAACCGTATTTAAGTTTTTTTGGATCTCCTTTTATTTCTGAGATATGATTGAAAAAGTGATGGCATGTTTCAAATTTTAGCTTACCGAACCTAAGCCCTCTTTTCCTAGACCAAGTTACATATGAGCTTTCAATCAATTTTGAGCAATTGATGTTTGTATCTTATAAAAAAGTAATTCTTTTAGCACAAAAAAATGATTTTCTGAAACTAATCGAATAAATTTAATATTACCATGATTAAAGTAATTCACAGAGAGTGCTTTAAATTAAATAAATGTTTGTTTCAGGTTTATTGCCTAATTTAAAACCAAGGAGTGACCTTAAAAGAGAACCATATCAGAGGAAAAAGTGGAAACAATTTAATACATATTTCGACGAAAAAACCATCAAAACTAAGTATAGAATATAACAAGAGTTTTAATTGAATTTTGTAAAATTAAATGTAATACTTTAAAAAATAAAGTTTTTTTTATAAATCATAAACATTAATAACTCCTAAAAATAAGATTTATATTTGTTATTCACCGACAGATTAGAGAGAAAACCCATTGAAGGGGAGTCCAGGCAAATGCGAGTACTCCTAACCTCAAAAAGTCGTTCTGTAGAAACGCAAAACTAGTTGATATATAAGAGTGTGTGTTCTGACAGTTGGCCTAGCTTCAAGTCATTTAAGAAAAAAAAATATATTTGTTATTCCTTAGTAGGCATGTTCGTCTAATTATTATTTTTATTTAATAATGGTTTAGAAAAACCTTTGAACTATATTAATCAAACATTTTAACCATTATTATAATAACTTTTTAAGTTTTTAAAATAAATAGCAGTCATGATATTGTCGTTAGAAAATACGGTACAAAGATAAAACAAAGTAAATGTTACAAAAAATACGACAATGATTAGGTACACAGGTACACAAAAAAAATAAAATTTTGAGTGCGAAGAGTGACATATGGTAGGTTCCCTTCCTTAGGATATATCTAAGAAGAAAAACATAAGGTAGACATAAGATAACCGTTGAAAAAATGTAGCTGAAGTATGAGACGTCTCGTGAGACGGTAGGTTCCGACTAGAGCGCCGCGCTAAGGTACTTTTCATAGGCGCCGCCACAAACACATAACTCAAAAGAGTTCAAACAAAAATTAACAATAAAAACAAATAATAATCAAGGGATACATTTTATTATAATTCAAAACAGTTTATTTATTACAATATAAATAAAATACAATTTTAAAAAATAGAGAATCGAAACAAAACAAAAAGAAAAAACCGAAACATTCAGAAAAGAGTAAAAATAAAATAAATAAAAATTTCTGACATAGTTTCGATAAATTATTACGGAACATATTAATTTATATATTATTAAAATTTTTTCATATTACATTTAAAAAAAAAAGCAATTTTAAAAATGTAATCATCCAAAAAATTTAGAATTGAAATAAATTTCGAGAAATATTAAAAAAATGATTAGTCTTTTTATTATTGAAAATTGTTTCCAATGACAATAAAAATAAGAAACAATTTTCTATTTTAAAAAATAAGTCGGGGTATAGAGGAAAGAATTGATGTTCGGATCCTAACGCACAACAATCGGAAAAAATATAAGTTTGCCGCTAAGATTCAATTAATTAGAAAAAAATGTTAAGTATTTTTATAACTAAAAATTGTTTCATATAACACTAGAAATAAAAAATTCTAATTTTTGAAATCGGTCGAGGACAAGGAAAAAATTGAATTTTTCCAACCGTAACGCAAAAAAAAATTGAAAAAATATAACTTTGACGGTGAAATAAAACTAATTGTAGAAAAATGTTAAGTAATTTTATTATTGAAAATAGTTTCTCATAACAATAGAAATAAGAAACAATTTTTTATTTTTAAAAAACGGTCGGGGAGAAGGGGGAAAAATTAATTTTTCGGCCTTCGCGCAAAGAAAATGGAAGAAAATATAAGTTTGGCGGTAAAATAAAATTAATTGTAGAAAAATGTTAAGTAATTTTATTATTGAAAATAGTTTCTCATAACAATAGAAATAAGAAACAATTTTTTATTTTTAAAAAACGGTCGGGGAAAAGAGGGAAAAATTAATTTTTCGGACTTTGCGCAGAAAATAATGGAAAAAAATCTAAGTTTGGCGGTATAATAAAATTAATTGTAGAAAAATGTTAAGTAATTTTATTTTTAAAAATAATTTCTTATAACAATAGAAATGAGAAACAATTTTTCGTTTTTAAAAATCGGTCGGGGAGAAGGTTTAAAAATTAATTTTTCGGCCTTCGCGCAGAAAATGATGGAAAAAAATATAAGTTTGGCGGTAAAATAAAATTAATTGTAGAAAAATGTTAAGTAATTTTATTATTGAAAATAGTTTCTCATAACAATAGAAATAAGAAACAATTTTTTATTTTCAAAAATCGGTCGGGGAGAAGGGGGAAAAATGAATTTTTCGGCCTTCGCGCAAAGAAAATGGAAGAAAATATAAGTTTGGCGGTAAAATAAAATTAATTGTAGAAAAATGTTAAGTAATTTTATTTTTAAAAATAATTTCTTATAACAATAGAAATGAGAAACAATTTTTCGTTTTTAAAAATCGGTCGGGGAGAAGGTTGAAAAATTAATTTTTCGGCCTTCGCGCAGAAAATGATGGAAGAAAATATAAGTTTGGCGGTAAAATAAAATTAATTGTAGAAAAATGTTAAGTAATTTTATTATTGAAAATAGTTTCTCATAACAATAGAAATAAGAAACAATTTTTTATTTTTAAAAAACGGTCGGGGAGAAGGGGGAAAAATGAATTTTTCGGCCTTCGCGCAAAGAAAATGGAAGAAAATATAAGTTTGGCGGTAAAATAAAATTAATTGTAGAAAAATGTTAAGTAATTTTATTATTGAAAATAGTTTCTCATAACAATAGAAATAAGAAACAATTTTTTATTTTTAAAAAACGGTCGGGGAGAAGAGGGAAAAATTCATTTTTCGGACTTTGCGCAGAAAATAATGGAAAAAAATCTAAGTTTGGCGGTAAAATAAAATTAATTGTAGAAAAATGTTAAGTAATTTTATTATTGAAAATAGTTTCTCATAACAATAGAAATAAGAAACAATTTTTTATTTTTAAAAATCGGTCGGGGAGAAGGTTTAAAAATTAATTTTTCGGCCTTCGCGCAGAAAATGATGGAAAAAAATATAAGTTTGGCGGTAAAATAAAATTAATTGTAGAAAAATGTTAAGTAATTTTATTATTGAAAATAGTTTCTCATAACAATAGAAATAAGAAACAATTTTTTATTTTTAAAAATCGGTCGGGGAGAAGGTTTAAAAATTAATTTTTCGGCCTTCGCGCAGAAAATGATGGAAAAAAATATAAGTTTGGCGGTAAAATAAAATTAATTGTAGAAAAATGTTAAGTAATTTTATTATTGAAAATAGTTTCTCATAACAATAGAAATAAGAAACAATTTTTTATTTTTAAAAATCGGTCGGGGAGAAGGGGGAAAAATTAATTTTTCGGCCTTCGCGCGAAAAATACTGGAAGAAAATATAAGTTTGGCGGTAAAATAAAATTAATTGTAGAAAAATGTTAAGTAATTTTATTATTGAAAATAGTTTCTCATAACAATAGAAATAAGAAACAATTTTTTATTTTTAAAAGACGGTCGGGAAGAAGAGGGAAAAATTAATTTTTCGGACTTTGCGCAGAAAATAATGGAAAAAAATATAAGTTTGGCGGTAAAATAAAATTAATTGTTGAAAAATGTTAAGTAATTTTATTATTGAAAATAGTTTCTCATAACAATAGAAATAAGAAACAATTTTTTATTTTTAAAAGACGGTCGGGGAGAAGAGGGAAAAATTAATTTTTCGGACTTTGCGCAGAAAATAATGGAATAAAATATAAGTTTGACGGTCAAATTAAAATATTTCTAGAAAAATGTTAAGTAATTTTATTATTCAAAATAATTTCTTATAACAATAGAAATGAGAAACAATTTTTCGTTTTTAAAAATCGGTCGGGGAGAAGGTTGAAAAATTAATTTTTCGGCCTTCGCGCAGAAAATAATGGAAAAAAATCTAAGTTTGGCGGTAAAATAAAATTAATTGTAGAAAAATGTTAAGTAATTTTATTATTGAAAATAGTTTCTCATAACAATAGAAATAAGAAACAATTTTTTATTTTCAAAAATCGGTCGGGGAGAAGGGGGAAAAATGAATTTTTCGGCCTTCGCGCAAAGAAAATGGAAGAAAATATAAGTTTGGCGGTAAAATAAAATTAATTGTAGAAAAATGTTAAGTAATTTTATTTTTAAAAATAATTTCTTATAACAATAGAAATGAGAAACAATTTTTCGTTTTTAAAAATCGGTCGGGGAGAAGGTTGAAAAATTAATTTTTCGGCCTTCGCGCAGAAAATAATGGAAAAAAATCTAAGTTTGGCGGTAAAATAAAATTAATTGTAGAAAAATGTTAAGTAATTTTACTTTTAAAAATAATTTCTTATAACAATAGAAATAAGAAACAATTTTTCGTTTTTAAAAATCGATCGGGGAGAAGGTTGAAAAATTAATTTTTCGGCCTTCGCGTAAAAAAAATTGAATAAAATATAACTTTGACGATAAAATTAAAATATTTCTAGAAAAATGTTAAGTAATTTTATTATTGAAAATTATTACTTATAACAATAGAAATAAGAAACAATTTTTTAATTTTAAAAATCGGTCGGGGAGAAAGGGGAAAAATTAATTTTTCGGCCTCCGCGCAAAAAAAAATGGAAAAAATATAAGTCTCACGGTCAAATTAAAATATTTCTAGAAAAATGTTAAGTAATTTTATTATTGAAAATAGTTTCTCATAACAATAGAAAGAAGAAACAATTTTTCATTTTCAAAAATCTGTCGGGGAGAGGGGGGAAAATTGATTTTCTGGTGCTGATGAAGACAAAGTGAATAAAAATATAAGTTAATTAATTAATTAAAAAATTAATTAATTTATTAAATTAATTAATTTAATATTTTAATAATTACAAGAAATTTGAAAAAAGTTTTTATTTAAAGTTTAGTCATATTCTGGACAATATGAAAAAAGGCGTTTCCTAATTTTCTTCTCATTCTTTCTCTATTTTCATTCTTTTAAGCCTTTTAGCCAATTAAAACGAAGGTGGGTGGATCCTTTATGGAATTTTTTCTTATCCCCTCCATTTTTTTTTAAATATTATGAGTGGGGATGTTTTTCCAATTGATTTACTGTATTGATTTTTTTTCAATTCTTTTTGAATTCTCATTTCGTGCGGTCGTTCGGAATTTTGAAATTACTAACGTTCGGGTGAATTTTGTGAATTTGTGAAAATGAGGAAGGTGAATGTGAGCTTCGAACGATTAAGTGGAGTTATTGCGAACCATGTGACTTCAGTGGAGGAAGTGCAATTCACCAGCAGGAAACCTGACTCCTTATTTAAGAAAGTAAGTGTTTAATATTTTTTTAATATTTTAA